GTGTGTCATAATTCACATCAACAAATCCGGCGGGCAGCCCGAGGCTCCAGCCAGCGCTGCAGGATGGGTCAGGCAACCGCGAGCCCTGTGCCCCTCCCGTGTCCCAATGGGGCCTAGGATGCCAGATGCAAAAAAATGGAAGGACGGAGAAGGAGGTGGGAGTGGGGGGCAAAGACACCATCTTAGTCTGGGTAATGTGAGAGAACTTAGGCTGTCCTCACGCCCGCGCGTCGCTCTCAGGCGCGCTGTCATTTGGACTGCCTCCGAAACCTACCCCAACGACCAAGCGAGACACAAGAGCCCTGCAGAACAAAACCGCAATGCTGGGGCGAACCCTCCAGGGAGGCAGTGTTGTTGGTGTATCCACTCTCAAGAGAGAATCCACTTTCAGAAGAAAGGGCAGAGAAACACTGAGCACTTAAACCCTTATCCCACCTGCAATGCACCACCACTCCAACGCCCCCCGCCCCACTCCCCAACCCTCCCCAAACCAGAGGCCGTGCAGGGGCCCAGTGGGCAGGGGCAAGAATCGAGGCAAGAGCCCAGCTCCAAGGAACTCTGACAGAGAAAATCACAGCAGCACAGGTCGTCGCCATCCATGTCCTGCAGCCTCTGCTCACACACACTCTGGCCGTTCACTGTCCACCGCCTCCTCCTAACTGGCTCCCCCAGCACCTCTTCTTCAGCAACTTGAGATGACTGCTTTGGCTCCCACTTACTGGGCACTCTCACGTGCCAAGCACTGTGCTGAGTGCTTTCTGTATGATTTCTGATCCTTTCAACTCTGCAAGATGGATATTATTACCGCCATTTACAAACAGGAAAACTGAGGCAGGGCCCAAGGTCACACAGCTCCTGAGTGTCTAGCTGGCAAAAAGCCCATGTTCTTTCCACTACATGACACTTGACTTTATCTTGTAGATAACAGAAGAGGAGGAAAGTGCTGTTCTGAGAAAATTAATCCCGTCTCTCCCACTCCAACCGAAACCGTACTCTGTGGCCTGACTGATCTCGCTATTCAAAGGGCAGCTTTCATCATGTCTCTCCATTACCTACAGAATCAAGTCCCAAAAGTCAGCATTTAAGCTTCTTTACGGTCCACTTTTGCAGTCTTATTCCCCAACTCCCAGACTCAAATCTTTCCTACCAGCCAGCCAAGCCTGGCCCATCACTCCTCATTGCCCACGTTTCTGTCTGGAAAGATTTCCTTTCTCTGTCAACAACACCACGAATTCCCTCAGCCAAACATGGACTGGGGACGACTGCGTGCCAGGTCCTGGGCTTGGTGCTGGGGACACAAGAGCCAGGACAGGGAGGACCCCATAGCAACAGAGCTCAGACTCTGCCTTCCTTTGTGAAGTGTGAGCTGGGCCCTTCTCCGGTCACTCGGTGCCCCACAGCCTGGCCTTTGCCTGAATCCACGGCCACTCACGGCACTCAGCCATTCCCCCAACTTATGCCAGTTCTTCTTTAAAACTTCCTCTGTCATGTGTTTATTTCTGTGGGAGAAGTACACTCCAGGTTCCAAACAGCATTATAAATGGCAATTAGGTCCCCAGGCCAACCCACAGAAGCCTATTAAATATATAATGTAGAATCTAAATACGTGTACATTAAAAGCTCTGCAGGAGAGACCAGGGGCAAACATCTCCTGTTTCCTGTACCTCCACCCACTGGGTTCTGAGCTTCAAGCCACCATCGGGGCAGAGGCTCTAGCAGTGGCTTTGGAGGAGGGAAGCGTGAAGGCGATGGGGGCGGGGGGCTGCGATGACAGAAATGGAGTGGGAAGAATCCTGATTTATAATTCATAAGCCTCAGTCTAATTCCAGCTCTGCCTTTAGAAACTGGGTGGCCTTAAGTGAGTCCCTTCCCTCTTAAAGCCTCACTTTTCTTTTATAAAATGAGAGAGCTGAGTTAGCTCAGTAATTCTCAGACTTCTGAATCTCACAGATTGGCATAATATACTTTAAAGTATATATATGTTTAAATATAATGTATAATGTATGTTATATATACTTAAAAATAAATTTTATCAAGAAATGACTTTTTAAAAAATCACAATATACCATCACTACTTTCATTTTTCAAGAGGATATTGTAAACCACTCCCTATCCCCAAACATGAACATCATATCAAAAGAATGAACAAGCTTTTAAACTGAAAATATTTGGATTCATGAAAAAAAAACCCAAAAACACTCACCATTGTTATTTTTCCAATCTGTCTGCAGACCAGTAAAAACTTCAACACAGCCTAGCTCCACGGCTTGGCCAGCTGTAGCTGCTGGGCCGGACAGCAGGAAGGGGCAGAACAGCTCAGTCCCCTCAGCCACATGCCCCAAGGGCAGAGACACCCACCCAGCCTCGCAGGGCTAGAACCAACTTGTCCCAAGTGTTCACTCTTTCTACCACAGTATTCTTCTGGAAGGTGAGGCCCCCAAAGAACCTTTTAAAAAATGTTCGCTTATTACCTTTCCTGATCTAAAACTAATATATGTTCATGTAGGAATCTTGGAAAACACAGAAAACCATAAGCAAAGAAGTAAGCAAAAGTCATCCACAGCTCCACCTTCCAGACCAGCCACTGTTCATATTTTGATGCACTTCTAAATTCTCACACAGTCAGGTAGCCGTCTTCAGCCATCCTGGGATTTGGCTTTGTATCCTGCTTTTCCCCTACTCATCTCACTAGAAAACTTTTCCATGTCTTTAGATCACCTTCATTAGCATCACAAAACATTTTTATAATAAACAGCATTCTAGTAAATATAAATATTCTTCATAAACATCACTTCCCATGGTATGGACAGGGCCAAAAGTCATTTAACCATTTAATGACTGTTGACCATTTAAGCCATTTCCATATTTTTGCTATTAAAAGCATGTGGCGGGTGTACATGCCTGTCCATGAAACTCTGTAGACTCCTTTTATACTTCATCATATCCCTCAGGTCACAGCCCAATGCTGTGTACGTATTAGCCCTTAGTAAATATTGAGTGAACAAAGAAACTCAATACACTCCCAGTACCTGGAAGCCCTTATCAGAGGGACATAGAGTATAGATTTACAAAAGTCCATCCTAGTGTCCACCAGCCACTCTCCACTGACCATGCACCTGTGCCTCACACCTGCTAAGCCAAGGGCTTAGGGAAAAAAGAAAACATCAATTCCTTGCTGAGGGATTTCCAGGTTCTAGTGCTCTCAGCAAACCTACCCACTCTTCTGAACTTCTGAGTGGAAGGCACCTGCAGACCTCAACTGCTGACTCCCACACTCCCTCCAGACTGCTCAACCCACTGCCTCAGGAAAGCCATAGCTGACCCTCCCTCTGAATTAACATATGGCTCCCCTTCTGTGGAAGCACCCAGCCCTTCGGATATTAGCATTCGTAGTTCTGTCTTTTTTTGCTCACAGGACTAACTTCCCTTCCCAAACCAGGGCAACACAGGATGGCAGGGACAATGTGTATTTTGCTCTCCACCCAAAATCCAACCCAGATCCTGACAATGTGGTTGATAAATATTTGCTGAATGAAATTTCTTTCCAGTCAAATTCCCAAGCTCTTTTTTTACTTTCACAGGAGGGAGGGGGAAAGGAAAAAAGAAGGAAAGCAGGACCTCCTAAAACAGCCCAAGTGCAAAGACCCGACAGAATATCTCACTGGAGATGGTCCCCTCTGCACCTTCCTGCAGTCCTGCCTGGCCTAGAGACCTGCCAAGGCCAGCTGGCTCCAGGGAACAGAATGCAAGCAGACTATCAAACACATCTCAATGCTGGTGAAGTGACACTGCCCCACTCCAGCCTGGTTCTCTCCCAGAGGGAGAACGGTCAGATCTTGGGGGACAGAGAGCTTCCTTCCCCACCCACTTCCAGACAACCAGAAGACAGGGGCCACTCCTCACTGTGATCCCAAAAGGACAGGGTACTGGGAGATCAAAATATTCAAACAATTTAATCCACACTCGACTTTTTTCCTTCGTTTGCCTAGCATCCTTGTCACACCCAAAAGAAAAAAAAAAAAAAGTGGGTTGGAGAGGGTGCCAGCAACAGAATTCCTTGAAACTTCAGGAAAAAAGAAGTCAAGATGGTCTCAAAATAAAGGAGACCAAAAGTTATGGGAAAATATGGAAAGGGGCAACATTATCCCATCACACACCCAGGCAACACCAAGGCCCGTGGACACACCCATTCAGACCTCTCCCAGGGACGTCTTGGAGGCATCTCACACACTCGTAGAAAACTCCTTTTGGAGAACCCACCACTCCCAGTACTCCCAGCCCACCCCTCCTCCACTCTTGTATGATTTTGCAGTTTATAGAGCTTCTTCCTCAGATTTCTCATCCAACCCTCGGGAAAACCTTGAGAGGTGGGTTATCTTTACCGTCCACATTTCAAGGAAGAGAACACTGAATCATATACTTTAAACGATACGCCGAGTCACACAGCCAGAAAGTGGCCAAGGTTCGGGCCAACCTCAGTTAGGCGTAGGAGCTGAACTCCCTGCGGGCAGGGACCCAGGTGTGGACCTGCAGTTTCCCAGCCGCCCAGGGTAAGAAACCAAGGACCAAGTGACCCTAAATCAAGGTTTCCGGCAGTGCTGGTGGAAAGGACCCCCTTCCCATACCGCACTCACAACAGGTGTAGGGCCCGGAGTGAGTCTGCACGCGGGTGTCTCGCCCAAGCTGGTGGCCGCTTCCTGACTTGCACCCCCGCAAAGTTGTGCCCGCGGCGCAAGCACCCTGAGAGGGATCGCCCAGTGCCACCGGGCTCCCTCCGCCCCTGCGCCCCAGAACGCTCCGAGAGAAGGGCACCGGGGCCGCTCGCTGCCTCCCCTGCAGCCACTGAATCCCCGCCATCCTCGCACGAACGCCCCTACTCCGGTGGCAGAAGGCACCTCCCCGCATGTCCAGGATGGGCCGGCAGTAGGGAGCGCGGACCCTCACTCCGAGCGCACGTGCGGGTGCCGGCCCCGGCCCGAACCCCAGCGCCACAGCCTCACCCCGATCGCCAGCAGTAGCAGCCACGCCGGCCCGGCCCGCGCCATCCCCGCCACCGCTGCCCACGGCCGGCTCTGGTCTCCACTCGGGCTCCCGCGCCCGCAGCTCCGCCGGGTCCAACTGCCACCGCCACTTCCCAGCCGCTCCCCGCCTCCTAGTTCCCGGTGCCACGTCTGCCAAAGCATGCGCGCCAGGAGAGGAGAGGCGGCTGGGAAGAAGTGCTTGCTGGGAGTTGTAGTTTGCAGCAAGGCTGGGCTGTAAGACCTGGAGGTGTGGACTTGCCCCGCCAAGGCCAAGTAGGATGTGAGGGAAGTACACAATGGTAAGGGAAGGCAATTAATTTGGGAGATTACTCGTGCCTAGAACTTTAGAAGTTACCTCATTCAGCTCACAAAGGTAAGTTTTATTTTCCCCACTTTGAGGACGGGAGTCAGCCCAGAGAACTTGAGCTTTTCTGGAGGATGGGAAAAGCCCTCATCCCTGACTCCCAGGCTTCAACCTGCCTTTTCTTTTTTGCACTTGGAAAATACTTTTCTTTTTTGCATTTGGAAAAAGCTGTTGGAAAACAGTTTGGCAGTTCCTCACAAAGTCAAACATAGATTACCAAATTACCCTGCAAATCCCTCCTGCTTATATACCCAAATGAATTAAAAACAGATATTCATACAAATACTTGTACATCAATGTTCATAGCAACATTATTCACAATAGCTAAGAGGTGGAAGCAACCAGCCATTGAGGGATGAATGGCTACACAAAACGTGGTATGTCCATATAATGGAATATTTTTCAGCCATGCTGCACTGTGGATAAACCCCAAAAATATTATGCTAAGGAAGAAGCCAGACATAAGATCACATATTGTATGATTACATTTTTGTAAAATATCTAGAAATAGGTAAATCCCTATTAGGGACAGAAAGCAGATTAGTGGTTTTCTGGAGCTGTGGGGAGGAGGGAATGGGAACTGACTGCTCAGTGGGTACAAGATCTCCCTTGGGGGTGATGAAAATATTTTGGAGCTAGACAGAGGTGATCATTGCATGACACTGTGAATGTACCAACTGCCACTGAATTATACATTTTAAAATGGTTAATTTTATGTTATGTGAATTTTACTTCAATTTAAACATTTTTTAAAAACTTGTATCAAACTTAGTCCATATTCTAAAACATTCATGCATGCAGTCAAGAATATTTATTGAACCCTACCACATTCTGAGGCTCCAGATATACAGTAAGAAGGTGGACAGGGAAGTGCAGTCTGTAGTTGGTAGGTAATACCTGAAAGTTCCTTGCTCACTGTCTGAGATTCAAAGCTCAAAACCTAGAAGTCATGCTTGACTCACCCTTCACTTCTCAACATGCTCCTCTGACCCTTCACCATGCTCTCTCTGTCAGTTCTGCTTTCAAAATCTCTTCTGCCACATCCTGAATCCAAGTCACTGCCATGTCTGCCCAAGGCAAGGGTAAAGTCCCAAAGCATTTACCTGCTTCTTCTTCCTTGCACACCCTACAAAACATTTGTTCATGTCAGTTGGATCTTGGTTGTCACTACGCTAAAACCCTACCATGGCTTCCCATTGCTCTCTGCAACTGCTCCCCTCACCTGTCAGCCCAGCAAGTTGTGGGCCGAGCCCTCTAGACCTCATCTCCTGCCTCTCTTCTGCCCTTGTCCACACTGATCCAGTCACACAGCCTATTATTTCTTGTTCCCTACCCCCTAGAGCTGCTTGCACTTCAGGGCTAGTATTCTTCCTATTATCCCTGCCTCAACACTTTCCTTGGCCCTTGGTCTGACTGGCACCTTCTAATCCTTCAGCGCTCTCCTATATGTTCCCCCTTAGAGAGGCTCTTCAAAGCAACCCATCAAAAGGAAATTTTACCCTTCCCTGCCCCACACCCCTTATTCCATTGCCTGGGTTCTGTTCATTCCTTACCCAGAACTTAACCACAGTCTGTACTTACTTACTTAGTCATGTAGTTCATTGCCTGTTGCTACAACTGGAATTTAAGTTTTACATCTTTCTTGGTTTTTACCTAACTTTGAAGCCTAGCACCTAATGTGAGCCTCAGGTGGTTCTCAATCTTCTTTTTTGTGTATTATTGAAAGACTGTATGAGGTGAGGTGTTGGGGAGTTTCAGAAATTCCTGCAGCTGGTTGGGGACAGCTCTGCATGCTCTGCTTTGTGACCTCAAGCTCATGATCTGCATATGGTAAAATGGGCCTTTCATCTTCTCTCTTTTTCTCCTTTTCATCTCTGTTTCTCAGCTGTCAAATGAAGTAGCCAGTGAGAATGTACAGCACCTGTACTCTTCTACTTTGCTAATGCGAGTGTATATTGGTTCAACCACTTTGGACAATGGTACATGTGCAAAATATATATAAAACTTTTTATAGCAGCTTCATTCATAGTAGCTGTTATGGACTGAATTGAGTCCCCTCCAAAGCTCATATGTTGAAGCTCTAACCGCTCAATACCTCAGAATGTGGCTGTATTTGAAGATGAGGCTTTTAAAGAAGTCATTAAGGTTAAATGAGGTCATTGGGGTGAACCTTAATCAAATATGACCAGTGTCCTTATTAAAAGCGGGCATTAAGACACACATACAGAAGGGAAGACCTTGTGAAGACACAGAGAGAAGATAGCCATCTACAAGCCAAGGAGAGAGGTCCTCAGAAGAAATCAACGCTGCTGACATCTTGATCTTGGACTTCCACCTTCCGGGATTATGAGCAACTAAATTTCTGTTGTTTAAGCCAAAGTACCAGCTGTGGTACTTTATTATGGCAGCCCTAACAAATTAAATCAGTAGCCCAAACTGGAAATAATTCAAATGTCCTTAAAAAGAAAGATAAAGCCCTGGCTGGTGTGGCTAAGTGGATTGAGCACCAGCCTGTGAAATGACAGATTGCTGGTTCAATTCCCCATCAGGGCACATGTCTGGGTTACAGTTCAGGTCCGCAGTTGGGGGCACATGAGAGGTAACTGATCCAGCGTCTTGTACATCAATGTTTCTCTCCATCTCTTCTTCCATTCCTTCCTGTCTCTCTAAAAATAAATAAATAAAAATTTTTTAAAAAAAAGATGGATAGATAGATAATCTTGGCCAGCTTGACTCAGTTGATTAGAGTGTAGTACCATAAACCAAAGGCTTGCAGGTTCAATTCCCAGTCAGGGCACATGCCTAGGTTGCAGGTTTGGTCTCAGTTGGGGCATGTACAGGAGGCAGCCTCTCTAAAATCAATAAGCGTGTCTTCAGGTGAGGATTTAAAAGAAGATAGATAAATAAATAACATTCTGCAATAAAAAAAAACCCTGCAGAAACACACAACAACATGGATTAATCTCAAACCCACGGATGTTGAATCAAAGTAGCCAAACACAGAAAAGTACATATGTATTATTCCATTTACCTCAAGTCCAAGAATAGGCAAATGTGATCTACAGTGAAAGAAGAAAAATAAGGGTTATCGCAATGGCAGGGATTGGAACAGGAAGAAAGATCAGCAAGGAAAAAGTACGAACAAACCTTCTGGGTTCTCAATACAGAAATACTTTATATCTTGATTAAATGATGGTTCCATGATAGTGTATGTATATAAAAATTAATAATTGAGCTGACCCTCCAAGATGGAGGCATAGACAGATACACTTTGCCTTCTTGCACAACCAAAAGAAGGACAACAAATTTAAAAACAAAAAACAATCAGAACTCCCAGAAAATTGAACTGTATGGAAGTCTGACAGCCAAGGAGTTAAAGAAGAAACATTCATCCAGACTGGTTGGAGGGACAGAGACAGACAGCCAGGATGGAGAGGATGCGTGGGAAAGACCCAGCGGTCCCACATTTCCGTGCGGATAAACTGGGAGGAACAGCTATGGAGCAAGACAGACCACACAATCCAGGGTTCCAGTGCAGGGAAACAAAGCCTCAAAACCTCTGGCTATAAAAGCCTGTTGAGAATGCAGCAGCAGGAGAAACTCCCAGCCTCACTGGGGAGTCTGTTGCAGAGACCCACAGGGTCCTAGAACGTACACAACCCCCCTGCCCAGGAATCAGCACTAGAAGGGCCCAATTTGCTTGTTGGTATCTGGAGAAGACACTGAAAGCTGGCTGAGAGCTAAGCAAGATGCACTGTTCCCTCTCGGACCCCTCCCCCATTGACAGTGTCACAACACAGGGACCTGGGTTTCCCTACCCTGGTGAATACCTAAGGCTCCACCCCTCCCAATGTAGCAGGTGCGCTGAGACAAAGAAATATGGCTCAAATGAAGGAACAGATCAAAGCTCCAAAAATAGAACTACGTGATCAAGAGACAGCCAACCCATCAGATGCACAATTCAAAACACTGGTAATCAGGATGCCCACAGAAATGGTCACAAAATGGAGGAAAAAGTGAAGGCTATGCAAACTGAAATAAAGAAAAATACACAGGGGACCAACAGTAAAGGGTAGGCAACCAGGACTCAAATCAACAATTTGGAGCTGAAGAAGGAAATAAACATTCGACCAGAAAAGAATGAAGAAACATGGATTCAAAAAAGTGAAGAGAGTCTTAGGAACCTCCAGACAACTTAAAACAATCCAACATCCAAGCCATAGGGGTGCTAGAAAGAGAAGAGGAAGAGCAAGGAATTGAAAACTTCTTTGAAAAAATAATGGAGAACTTCCCCGATCTGGCAAAGGAAATAGACTTCCCAGGAGATCTAGGAAGCCCAGAGAGTCCCAAAGAAGTTGGACCCAAGAAGCACACACCAAGGCACAGCATAATTACATTACCCAGGATTAAAGATGAGGAGAGAATCTTAAAAGCAGCAAGAGAAAAGGAGACAGTTCCCTACAAAGGTGTTCCCATAAGACTATCAGCTGATTTCTCAAAAGAAACCTTGCAGGCAAGAAGGAGCTGGCAAGAAGTATTCAGTCATGAAAAGGCAAGGACCTACATCCAAGATGACTCTCTCCAGCAAAGCTCTCATTTAGAATGGAAAGGCAGATAAAGTGCTTCCCAAATAAGGCCAAGTTAAAGGAGTTCCTCATCACCAAGCCCTTATTATATGAAATGTTAACGAGACCTATCTAAGAAAAAGAAGATCAAAACTTTGAACAGCAAATGACAA